TTGTTGAATATTTAAATCAACATGCTTTTGAAAAAAAACAATAGAGAATGATTGATTTATGATTTAGTGAGTTTTTTTTTCTTTTTTTTTAGTGACTATTAAACTAAAAGATGTGCTAACAAATTACAAATGTGAGTATACTTCAGGATACCAATCAAGTGTCTTCCAATCCAAAAAGATGTATGCCATGATGAATTACCACCACTTCTGTGCATACAACGTAGCATTGATTTAGTTTTTGGTTCATCATTGTCAAGCTTGCCTAATTCCAACATGAATCCAATTAAACATGTTGAATTTACGAGAAAAATTAATATATTACCTAAGAAGGTAGGGAAAGCATGCTCATGTTTTTTTTTTTTTTTTTAATTATTATTATTATTCATGTTTTACAAGCATCTTTAGGGCAATCCAAAAAGCTTGTTGTTCACAAAGAGTTCGTGTTCGGCTAGCTATAAAACTCATTTTCAATTCGTTCATTAATTAAGTGATTCAAAAACGAATAGATCACTCAAGCTCAATTTGTAAACGAGTCGAACAAGAAGAAACTTTTGTTCGATCGTGTTATGCTCATTTTAGGCTTAAAATTGATAAGCAAATAAATAAATAGTATGCATAATATACTATTGATTTTATTTTTTATATTATTAATATACAGAGACTTTATTATTGAAGTTGCAACCATGATGTAGAACGGAATTGATGGCAGCCACCCAAAGAAAGAAGATACCAAGGTTCCTGTGGTGGATTTGGGGCTTGAGAGGAAGTAAACATCGAGTGGTGGCTCCTTGGCGTCTGGATAACAACTCATTTCATTCTCGAACCTTTGGACAGCACATAGAAAATCTGGGACAGCAATTTCTGATCTTCCAAAGTGCTGGACAGCAAGATATTCATGCTGGAATAAGTGGACAGCAAGCAAAATTTCAGGAAGGCAGCAGTTCGGACACTGGACAGCAATCAAACAACAGGAGCAGCACATTTGGACGTGTGGAAAGCTCTGGACAGCAGGTCCTCAAGCTTCCAATCCTGGACAGCAACTCACTTCAGGGGAAAACAAAAAATTTGGCTGAAACACGAGATGATTTCAAAAAAAAAAAAAAATCAAACGAGCCAAACACAAGCAAGCATCCAACTTTGCTTAAGCTTGGGGTAGTTAACAAACATCTCACAAAGATGATAATTTGTGAATGTGTGTATAAGATGGACATTAAAATTATTGCCACCAAATATTGATTTTCTAAATCATACGTGAATGATATGAAAGATATGCTAACCGATACAATGATCTATTTCAAAATTGATTTGAGATGTGGGTATCATCAAAAGAGAATTAAAGGTTGATTAATGCAAAACTTTCTTTGAAGTCAATGATAGATTATATGAATAATTGATGATGGATTTTGGAGTGGTTGATACACCTATTATTTTTTTGGAATATGAACTATAGTTTGAGATCTTTCGTTGACAAGTTCATTATTGTGTACTATGAAAATATTTTGATATATACTAAGATGATGGATGATCACTTACTGCATCGTAGAAAAGTTTTGAAGTTTTTAAAACTAAAAAAGTGATATTTTAATATGAAAAAAATTGTTGTTTCAAGATACAATCATGGTTTAAAATTGTACAATATGAGGCTCGCCTTTGCACAATTCCAGTAAAAAACGTCTCGATGCTTACGCCTCGAGTATTTTTTTTATGAGGCTTGCGCCTCAACTTGGTTGAGGCCCGCGTCGCCTCACTTGCATGAGGCTTACATTTCACGCTATATATATTAAAACTTACGTAAATCTTGAAGCAAATGCCCGACATTAGACTCTATGAGAGAGGAAGAAGGGAAGAAAGCAGTTCATCATAATGATGATTCAAATGAAGAACCCCTTATTGATGACAATGATGATGACTTATGAGTTCTTATGTGATATGTCATTGCTATTTATTTTTAAAAATTGGAATTATATGTTAATGAAAAAAATACTGAGATTTGGGAAAGATACAATTTTGAGTTGAACTATATTTCATGTTGTTTTGTTATTGGGATATTTTGATTTCACTTCATATCTTATGCTTTTTTATGTTTTATATTATTCATTCATTAGTATATAAAAAATTTATCATTTTCTGTTTACGCAATCTTTTGATTTTGAGGCTTACGCCTCAAAACGCCTTGAGGCTTACGCCTCGCCTCACGAATGAAAAACGCCTCAATACCCGAATACACAATTTTAAACATTGGACCCATCCTGCGGCTGGTGGAAACTCCGACTCCCTCCCATAGGGATTTCACTAACGTTCTTCCCAAAGAACCCAAGTGCAAAACGCAAATTTTTTTTATTATAATTCCATCATACCTAATACATGAGAAGGGGCCTCTATATATAGGCTTCAAAAGAAATTAAAAGACACATTTGCCCATTGGGCTTACATAAGACAAGAGGGTAAAAAGGGAAATTGCGAAACTAAATTAAAATACACTTAATAAATGAAAATAAAACAAAGTGATCTCGGTCGTCGATCTTCAGCTCCTCCTCGGATTGGCATGGACGGTTGGATGTCCGCATCAAACCATCTTAAATAATGACAAGTTCAATTAGTATCAAATAGTTTGGAAGTTTGGAATTGTACTATTTATAAACAATAAAAGTCAGCTCTTTTGCCTAGTTTAATTCTTTGCGTGGTTCAGCTTGTAACCCTAAGCCATATTGTACCGTGCAAGGTGTGAATCCTAAGGGGGTATTTTGATCACCATAAATGATTTAAAAGGTTTTTAAAAATTTTAACAGGATTCTAATCCCTAGTTGTGAGTTGTGAATGCATCTTATACTAAAAAGTTTCAATATTCAAAATTTTTAATCAAACACGAGCCATTTTTGAACAAACAATATGAAGAATAACAAAACGTATATGAACAATTTTTTAACACGAGATGATTTCAAAAAAAAAAAAAAATCAAACGAGCCAAACACAAGCAAGCATCCAACTGTGCTTAAGCTTGGGGTAGTTAACAAACATCTCACAAATATGATAATTTGTGAATGTGTGGATAAGATAGACATTAAAATTATTACCACCAAATATTGATTTTCTAAATCATGCGTGAATGATATGAAAGATATGCTAACCGATACAATGATCTTTTTCAAAATTGATTTGAGATGTGGTTATCATCAAAAGAGAATTAAAGGTTGATTAATCCAAAACTTTCTTTGAAGTCAATGATAGATTATATGAATAATTGATGATGGATTTTGGAGTGATTGATACACCTATTACTTTTTTGAAATATGAACTATAGTTTACGATCTTTCGTTGACAAGTTCATTATTGTGTACTATGAAAATATTTTGATATATGCTAAGATGATGGATGATCATTTACTGCATCGTAGAAAAGTTTTGAAGTTTTTAAAACTGAAAAAGTGACATTTTAATATGAAAAAAAAATTATTGTTTCAAGATACAATATATGATTTGTTTAGGATTTAATGCATCTAATAATATGACAAAGTTATGGAAATTAATAATGGTCAACAAATACTTGCATTCATGACATGAATATTAGTACTTTTATAGATGGCTCGTAAAAGGATTCAATGTTGTGATGGAATCAACTACAAACTGAATTTAAAAAGGAAGAATTTAAATGGATAAAATTTATTGATTGTAATTTAAACTGAAATTAAATAACTTAATAAATATATATGTGGCTAAATTGTTAGATTTTATAAAGCCTTTTTGAGATTTTGACACGGGAGGGGACCAGCTCAGCCAATTGATCCAGCAAGAGTTGGACCAGCAGCAACAATAGCGGTTTCGGCCCCCCCTGTGGGGCCCATCAAATCTATAATTCCATATGTAAGGAAAAAGATAAAGGAATTAATTAAAGGGTTTTTATTGGATTTTCTATTGTAGTTTTTCTTGGAGGCTTCCTAGCGACGTCTAGGTTGTTTGGGAGAGTCGATCTACCTCTTGCGTTGTATATCACTTGTATCTTGTTATTTCTTGTTTAAAGTATTAATACAAAATCAGCCACCGTTTCAGTTTTACTGTTGTTTTTTTATTTGTTGTTTTTGCTTTCAAAGCATATTAAATTGGTTTCCGAGTGGAATACTGGACAGGGCGCGGGCAGTTGGGGCAGGTTCGCAGGCAGCGGGGGCAGTGCAGGCAGCACATTTTAAACGGGTTTGCAGGTTGACCCGGCAACCCGTTAGGTCAACCCGAACACGACCCATTTTTCAAATGGGTCGAATTTTAGAACACGGACCCAACCTATTTTGAAATCAGGTCAAGTCAAACCCGAAATTCCTAGATCGGATTCGAGTCGGGTTTTCGTGTCGTGTCAAATATTGACACCCCTACAAGCTGGGAATGACAGATCTATACTCCCAGCTTGAGGGGGAGTGTTAAACCTCAATCTCTCATCCTCATGTTAATCCCACGACTACAAGGAGAGATCCGTGGGAAGCCCGCCTCAATCACGTTAAACACCTTCCATAGATGGACAACTGATTTAAGAAGACTAGAAGAGTTATATTTCATTATTATGTAGTTATTTGTTTTCTTATTAAATATCTTGTTTAGATCTATAAATAGGAATTGTAGTGTACAATAAAATTCAAGCTTTTCCCTCTTATTCCATTCAAATCCTCATTTGTAACATATAGTTTGAAACTCTGGTGCTAATTTTACACATTGATCTCAAGGATCATATTTGATTATCAATTGTAACATAATGATTTCATCCCACTTCTTAACATCTTTATCTCGCTTACTGCAACAACCTTCCAAAAGCTAAATTAATATCAACAAGATGACAATTATTTGATGGTATACTCAGAATTTGACCTAAATGTACAATTCATGATTTGCCAGCAAGGGTTTAGTGCTCACTGTGTGATGATAATTTATAATATAGGATAGACATTTCTCAAATTAAAATATATCATTCATTAAAAAAGTACATATCAGTGATATGAATTAAGAGAAAAAGAGAACCTCGAAGCAACTCTGACATTGTACTCCTTCCCAGGATGATAGAACTCTGCTAAACCCCAATCAATAAGACGAAGTTTTCGTTGTTCGTGATCAATCATGACATTATGAGGCTTGACATCTCGGTGCATGATGCCTTGAGAGTGACAATGTTCAAGGGCCTACAAAAGTACCTGAAAAACTTAATCAAATTTAACAGAATCTAAACTTCAAATCTTAAGTAGAATAGCAATAGAAAACACACTAGTACAAAGAACAGTCTGGTCATGTTACAGTAAAAGAAATTAACAACATTTAGTAGAATATGATCTGTGAAAACGTATGATCACAAAAAATGATAGACCTAGTAACAGATTATACATATAAAACAGCAAGTACATTTCAAAAAGCATGACAGAACTTGAAAGAAAACCATAGCAGTGATAATGTTCAATTTGAATAGAACTGTAAGGAAAAAAAAGTACAATCAAAAAGTATTTTCTCTACAAAATTAGTCATGACAAGTGATACCTAAAGCGAGGGCCAAGCTACGTTTTTCAGCAGAGATTTTTTGCAGTGCATTTCCATAACGACAAATGAGTCAATGAAGTTAAAAAAATCCCTAATAGGCATAAAAATATAAGGAGCAATCTAAATAATTTGAACCATGAAAAGAGATGATGTCAGAGCACTACTAGCGTATCGCTCAACCAAACAAAAATATATATATGAAGTTCATATGTTCCTAATTTCTGTAGTTCAACAAACCTCAGCTGTCACATAAAAAATAAAGTGGACATTACAAAACTACGGAAAAAAAACACTTAATTCAAAATAGACTTATGCAATGGACGGGCAAACTAATGAACCCGACTGAAATGGAAAAAAAAAATTGACCATTAAAAGCTGGAGCTTGAAGGCACTTTACTCTAAGCAGAGAGTCTTGAGGAGTTCCTGCCCTGATTTTATAAAAAAACCAATCATTCATAATAGCACATTCAATCATGTCTTCGCTCTCCGCTCAAATCACAACTTCACTTCCCACTCTGCAATCATGCCGCAAAATTATCTATTACACCTAAATTTGCTTATTGACCTAGTTAGTGTTAATAAAAGTTATGTAGCACACATACTATTTAATGATCATCTTCTTAAATGAAACCTTGTTGTGACCATATTGTTTCATTGTTAGTAAACAATCAAAACAAATAAACAATTCACATATCATACTTCAATAAAAACAGGAATTATATTTTGGACCAAGTAAAAATAAGTCAAATAATAGTAAAAAAATGACTTTTTTTTTCACAACAACAACAACAAGCCTTTATTTCATTATGTGGGGTCGGCTACATAAGTCCTTTTTCTCCATTGTGTCATGTTAAGAGTCAAATGCTCATCTAAATCTAAAGAATGCTTGCTCATTTCTAATATTTTCTAACCAAGTCTTTTTAGGTCTACCTCTACATTTCTTAACATAAGTCAAATCTAATACATCTACTTTCCTAATTGGGTCATTAGAAGGCCGCCGTTTTATGTGACCAAACCATCTAAGGCGACTCTTCTAATCTTATTTTCCACTGGAGCTACTCCAACCTTTTCACATATGTACTCATTTCATATCCTATCTCTAAGAGTAAAGCCACTCATCCACCTTGAGCATCCTCATCTATGCAACACTTAACTTCATATTATGTTTCTCATTTAATGGCCAACATTTTGCACCATAAAGCATTGCAAGTCTCACTACAATCTTATAGAAATTTCCCTTAAGTTTGAGAGGATATTTCTATCACACAACATTCCCACAACACGACCAACATGCTATTATAAATTAGAAAACCTCTTAAAGATAAATCAAGAATACAAAGAGATATTCTCGTATATGAATAAGCATATTTAATCATAAATCTTTGATGAAAACAACTGAGCTGTTATTTAAGCCCTGATATGTCAAAAAAAAAAACTCAATAAACTTTAAATATCGAAATCATTTTATAGTTAAAAATGTGTAAAGGCATGATGGTCAAAATAAAGAACAAATTCTCTAAGCAACATAAGATGCCCCTAGACCAAATAAATCATAACATGAATCTTGTGCTTTGTCACATTTCAGAAGATATGGAGTTTTTTTTTTTTTTTTTTTAAGAAATGCAAATTGCATTAAAACAGGATAAAAAAAATCCTTTAACTCTTTATGAAGGACAAAAGTGAAACCCAACTATATTAAATGAACATTTCGGTCCCTCAATTCCTTAAAAGAGGAACTAAAACAGTCCCATCAAAGATTTATTTTGATTCATCTTTAAGGAGTTAAGAGACCAAAATGGTTCTTTAATATAATTGGGGACAATTTTGATCCTTCATTAAAAGTCAAGGGACCATTGTGGTCATTTTCTCAACTAAATAATAAAATGTAAGAAAATCACAAAATTGGATTTGAATTTGCAAATTCAAAGGCCATCAATTTAAACTAGAATTTATTTTGTTAATGTAAACTTAAAATAAGAGAAAGCCATGCCAAAAGATTATTTAACAACCACTCAAATCAATAAAATTAGGTGAAAATTTTAAAACAAACAAAAATCACAAATCAATAAAGATTAATGCGGCAAAAAAGAAACATATAGAAGATTTGACTAAAATCAACCATGCTTGCGAACCAATTACAAATGTTTATAAGAACAAAATAAGAATTCAACAAGCGAAAAACCAAGCCTTGCACTAACGCAAGGAGAAAACTTTACCTAAATATTGATAATGCATGTACATCACACTGAAACTAGGGTTGTCAATATTCGACACGGCTCGAAACCCGACCCAGATACGACACGGAAAAATCTGTGTTCGAGTCGACCCGGGTAACAAACGGGTCGTGTTCGGATTAGAGAATCTGACCCGGTTTGGGTTTCGGGACGTGTTCAGGTCAACATGTAAACACGAAGTTGACCCAATTTCAACCCGTTACAGCCAGCTCGGCCGCTCGAGTTCGCCGCTTCGCCCAAATAGACGGAACCGTGGAATTAGGTTAACTGATCACTCAGTGGGTCAAGCCTTAAATTACTTATCCCATTCAGTCATTCGATTCGAGACTTCTAGTTCGCCACTTCGCCTTTCCTCTGCGGCTCTACGTGCTGGAGGCCCTTGCCCTATTTTTCCGCTTTTCCTCTGCCTTCTCCGTGATTTAGCGGTTGTTGTTGGATCGATTTCTCAAGAATCGTAGGTGATGAATTCTGAATTCAAGTCTCCTTCTCCCCTTGAAGTCTCGTTCTCTCCCCATGTCGTCATATATGGAGAACCGGAATTCCTTTTGATCTTTTTGATATAATGTGGTGATAGGATGATTGCTTGGCAAATGGCAAGATATGTACTCTTTATTATGAATTTTCAGATTTAACAATATTTTATTTTCCTTTTTGAGGTTCTCAAGCCGAAACCCTAAGTGATGCTTTCGTGATTAGCAAACCCTAGAGATGGTTTATCACTTATTTTCTTTATTCTTTACTGATTTTAAAGATTTTATTTATGTATGATTACATGATTAACAATATTTGAGTTTAACCGAAATCGCTTTCACCCTTTGTCGCTCTGTTCATGTTCGTAGTCGTTATGTAATTGATTTCTTAATTGATTTTACGCTTTTAGCTATGTTTAAGACTTTAAGTTATTTCTTGTGGACTGTGGAGCGACCTGTAGTCGTGTGTTGTGTCGTTGTGGTCATGTGGAGTTACCTGTAGGCTGTAGCCTTGGGCTTTTAGCTAAACCATTTAAATGCTATTTAATGTAATAATGTTGTTATTGTCATAATTTTTTTATATATTGTCGTTGTTGGAGGGTGGAGTCATGTATTAGTTTGTGATTGAATAGTTTTTTCTATAATGTTGTTGTTGAATAGATGGAGGATTCTAACACAGTGGTAGAAAATACTCCATTCATTGAGAATGTGCAAGTAGGAAATGCTCTTATTTTAGTTGACATTGAAAATGATGATGATGATTTGTGTAATATTAATGAAAAAGATGGAGATGACCTGTCTTCCACTAAGAAAAGATGAAGAATGTGTTCAACAGTTTGGGGTTATTATGAGATGTTACCCCTTCCAAGTGATGGCAAGCAGAGATTTAAATGTAGAAAATGTGGGGCAATATATTAGTGTGATAGCAAGTATGGCATTAGCAATTTAAGATGTCATATACAAAATTGTAAAAAAAGAGACTCGTGACATTGGCAACTTATTCTACAGTCAAATGCTACTTCGACTATCTCTATGACTGAATCTACGTTTGACATTCATGAGTTTTGTGAGTTATTCACTGCATGCATAATCATGAATGATCTTCCTTTTCAGTGTGTTGAATGGTCTGGTCTTCATTCATTGTCGCATTATCTCCGTCGTGATCTGCAAATAGTATCTAGAAACACTGCTAGAAGTGATTGCAAAAAGATGTTTAATAAAGAGAAATGTCTTCTTCAAAGGAGATTCTAAAATGTAGCAGTAGAGTTTCATTGACTTCTGACTTATGAACATCAATTAATACATATGGGTTCATTTGCTTGACTGCACATTTCATTGATAACAACTGATTGTTGCAAAACAAAAAAAAGGTTTTATGCCACCACCACATGATGGTATTGCTTTGTGTGAGAAGCTTCACTATTTTTTAACTGAATGGAAAATTCATAATAGAATATTCAGTACAACTCTCGACAATACTTCAGCTAACAATGTTTCTGTTGAATTCTTAAGAAACAAATTAAATTTGCATGGTGCACTGTTGTGTGAGGGTGAATTTTTCCATATAAGATGTTGTGCTCATGTGAATCTTATCGTGTAAGAGGGATTGAAGGAGGTTGATATCTCTATTCTTAATGTTAGAGAAAGTATAAAATATGTGAAAGGTTCACAAGCTAGAAAAAAAAAAATTGGAATGTGTCAAACAAAGTTATCTTGGCTCAAAGAAAGGATTAAGACAAGATATGCCTACAAGGTGGAATTCGATATTCATTATGCTTGATTCAGCTATTTATTACAAACGTGCCTTCCAATATTTGGAACTACTTGACTCTAACTTCAAAACTTGTCCTAGTAATACTGAATGGGATATGTTGGAGAATATTTGCAAGTTTCTAGCTCCTTTTTATGAGATTACTTGTACATTCTCAGGCACTAAGTATCCTACTT